CACCCATCCGCTCCCGCGCACCTGGGACCGGCCCCGCGGCCTGTCCTTCGGGGCACTCGCCCTGACTTGGCAAGGCCACCGCGGGGGCAATTCATGCCGTGCCAGCGTACCCGCGGTGTCAAGGGTCCGGTAATGCCAGCACCCAGTGGGAAGAAGGCCGGGGTCCTTCATCTTCATCGGCTCACAGAGGAGCACAGCGCCGCGGTTGACAGCCCCAGAAAGGGGCAGCGGGACAGGGTCCGACCCGGGGTATTAGGAAGGGATTCCTCATCACAAGGGTGGCCAAACCCTGGCAGCGGAGCAACCTCCATCCTTGGAGACCCCGATCTAACGCCAATGTTGGCCACGCTTGGGGCTGGACCAGAAGGTCCAGAGGTCCCATCCAGCCTACGTCCCTCTGGGATGAGGACGGTGGTGGAAAAGGAGGGGATCGGCCCCACTTCCAACCCCAGAGAGCAACAGTGCCCTTCCCACCACCCACCCAGCGGGCAGGAGATGGGTCGGGCAGGTGGATGGCCAGAGCCACCCCAGCCCCGTCCGGAGGCGCCTTCCCCACACAGCGAGCACGCAGCCCTGAAAGGGAGAAGGAGAAGGCGGAGGGACTTGGCAAATAAAAGCCGGGGTCAGTTGACAACACCAGCGAGAGACTGAGTCACTGGGACTGTTTTTAGCCCCGGCATCTCAGAAACGTGGACCATGGCGTTGTTAACAGGCACTTGGGTCAGAGGCCAAATGTTTTCCTTTCCATGCGTTAAATACCGCTCCTGGAAGCGGCCCAGGTATCCAGCACAGTAAAAATATTAACACAAGTCTTGTATGACAGCAGGACCCCAGCTAAAGTGATCCCCAAACTGCCCAGGTAAGCTCGCCTCGCCGGGGAGGTGTCAGGGAGCCGGCGGAGAGAAAAGCGTCGGTCCCTGGGTACCAAGAGCCAGGGCTGAGTGTCCCTTGTCATGGTGTCACCCCCAGGGCAGAATAAATGGGGTCCATAAAAAAGCCCCCTGGTTCTGGTGGTGCCAAGGTATATCCACGAGAGCCCACCTGTGCGTGGCAGCCGTTACGGGGTTAATAATACACAGCCTTGCTCCGATGCCTCTCCTTCACCCCAAAAAGCCTCTCCTTCACCCCAAAAAGCCCCTCTGCCCGGCGCGGCACAGCTGGGGGACGGCATGCACTCCATCACCCCAGCCAAGCACAGCGGGTGGAGGCTGGCACCCGCGGGCCAGATCCGGGTGCAGCCCCCGAAGCAGGGCTGGGGGAGGCAGGGGGACCCCCTGGGACCCCACCACGGTGAGGCCTGACCCTGGCTCTGCGGCTGCTCCAAACTGGAGCAAAAGCCCTTCCCCTCAGGGCGGTTGGCGCGGTGCAGGAGCCAAGATTGAAACATCACTGTCCGACTGACCGCCCGGGGAATTCACAGCCCGCCAGCGCAAACAGCCCGAGCCGACAAGTTCCTGCCCTCCCCTCCCGCCCCCCGCCCGACAGCAGCAATTAAAAATAAAAGTGTTAACAGGCAGAAGGACGTTCCTCGGGCGAGGACGAGCCAACGGCAGTGCAGGGGCCGGGGCCGCGCCGCGGCCGCAGCCCAGCACCACCCCAGGCTGAGCGGTTAATCAGCCCCGTATCATGTCCGCCTTTCAGCGGGGAGGCGAGGAGAGGAGCGGGGTGACCTTGGAGGGGCCTCGGCCGCGCCGGCAGGGGAGGACGCGCGGCCG